ATTTTGCACTAGAGGGCCACAGCGCTTCGCGAAGCTCACTCCGCGGAGCCCAGGCGTTCGGCCCGGCTTCGCTCGCGGAGTTGGAGAAGCGTGGAGCGGAAGGAGTTCTGAACAGGCCCTTATTTAGCACAAAAAAGGAAACAATGGAATCTTGACTATGTTTTCTTATTTCTTCGACTATGTTTTGTCCACGGCTTGAAGTTTTCATGCTGGCATCAACCTTGTACTTAAAATTATAGAGTACAAAAACATGCCACTAGCCGTGGCCAGTTAGTCATGAGATTAGTGTTGTTTTTGGATGCATGTTCTAGTCCACCCTTACCATGTGAATAGGCTTTCACACGAAGGGCGTAGAGCCCATGGGACAAGTTGGTCCACGAAGCTACTGAAGCGCTTGATTGCTCACCCATCAAGGATTCCCCATCCCGACTCGTCGTGGAAACGGGGAGTTTTCCACGTCTCGAGGGGTTGGGGAGGAAACCCTCGGCTCGCCCTCTCTCGCATACGCATGGAGCCTGTAAACTAAAAGCAAAGTAAATAATAGGAGCCTGTTCTACAAAACATGAACGTGGCTTAGGAAATAGTCTTACCTAGGGAACTTGTTGCTGAGCTTTTATAACTTCAAGGTCAACCAACAAGTCAATAGCAGCAACAATCAGCAAATCCAGTACTGAAACTGAGGCAGGGTGCATCTAAAGTTCAGAGCATAACTGAAATGGGTAGTAACATATAGTAGTAACATGCACATCTTAGGCTGGTCACAATGGGGAGGAACTTAGGAGTAACATCACACACTCCAATACAACTTTGCTTATGTGGCACATATTTAATGAAGAGAGAGGTGCTTGTGGTAACTAGCTAAGTTACCGGAACATCACACACTCCAAGAAAAAATGAGTCTATAACCTAATAAATACATCGTTGCATGACACTACAGAGATGTTCCTACCCACTATGAAGATAGTAACATAGTCTAAGAAAGTGTGTATGTTACTAGCTTATGTTCTTGCCCATTGTGACCAGCCTTACTACTCTATGTTACTACCTCTATAGTGAGGAGTAACATATGTGTGGTAACATGCAACACTTCATTTATTAGCCCATAGACTCATCTTGCCTTGATATGTGTGATGTTACTCATACTACTAGTAACATGCAACACTTCATTTATTAGCCCATAGACTCATCTCTCCCTTCTTCTCTCTCCCCTTTCTCTCTCTAGAGCACGCCCGCGTCGGCCTCTCCCGGCTCGCGCACCTCGCAGGACCAGCAGCAGCTGCAGTTCCAGCCGGCGCTCGTCCTCGCAGAACGTGGGCGGAGGGCGCGAACGCGGCAGGGCGGCGCGAGCATGTGCGTGGGTGAGTGGGCGAGCACGGGAGGCGGGCGCGGGCGAGCGCACGGCGACGAGCATGAAGTGCGGGCGCGCGCGACGGGGGCGGGGC